AAGAATCTATAAATGTATAATATAGTGCTTATAACGTAGTCTCATCTGTTTAAGCAGAGTAAAGTGTAATGTGAATGTCACAGATAACACCAAGGACTTAGAACTACATTTTTAGAGGACATATTTGGACAACAGAAAATGGTGCTCAATGGTACCCCAAATTCAATTTCTCTTTGAAAAGGAAAAGTACATGCAATATCTGGCTAAACTATATGACATTAAGGTACTTTTGTTTCTTTGAAATAAAAGAGGGTTTGAGGGTTTTCAAAACTCAGCAAATGCTTAATTTGGGACCCCATGATTCATAAAAGGTATTATTAGTCTTCCAGCTTGATAAAGGGGCTATTGGTTGCCATGAAACAGTGTGCTTAATTTCATTAAGGTAAAGGTCATTATAATTTTTACCTTTGACATAAAAACTTTCTTTTTTTCTTTATACAGTTGAATAAATATTGATTTCTAAAAGGGCCAAAATAATTTTTTTGGAAGTGATTTCTGTTAAGTATAAGTGAATTTAAGACAGTCCAGTGTGGTCAGCTTTCCCCCAACCATCACTATTTTTTGCAAGATATCCAAGGTATCTGTCTGTCTGCCTCCCTACCCACCTACAAGTCTCTGAAGAACAAAGGAACCTCTTCTTTTTTTTTTTATTAATAACATTGTATTATGTGACACAATTTTATAGGTACTGGGATTGAGGAACCTCTTCTTTAACTCATTTCTCATCACATAAACTTGTTTGATTTTGAATTTTCTGTATTTTCTTTTAGAGTAATTTTAGGAGAGAAAGCCAAGTTAAATTTATTGAGAATTTTCCAGTATGAGAATGATATGAAATTTGGGTATCTTTAGATGAGAATATGAGCTGTGTATTATTAATTTTGAGTACAATTTTGAGATTGCTGTTCCAGCCATGAATACACAATGTCACTCAGCCATCTATGGGGAACTAAGGGTATGAACAGACTACTATGAGTCATTCATTTTGGTCCCCAGGACATCTTGTTACAGAAGCAAATGGATTCCCTTGGAGGAGTGAAGCTCACTAATCTTTAATGTCAAGAAAAATGTCTTGCACAGAGCAGGTTTTCAGTGAACACACTAGCCCGGGGGGTTGATAAGGCAGTTTGTCATCTTGGAATGCAGGACTAAGGCAGTGGAGCCATCACCTGCTGAGTGCCATGCTATGAGATTTATAGATTTTGCCTGCTGCTGTTTTCCAGGACTGAGGGAAGTGACTTGCTCTGGGCTCCCTCAGCACCCGGGGTTTACCTATCATACCCCTCATCTCTGCCTGTGTCTCCCAAAGGGTTACGACTTTTTTAGGAGGATTGTCCTTACTTTGCATGGGTTCTGCCCTAAGTGCTTGGGGAACACTGGATACTGAAGAATACACATAATAGAACAATGGATAAATGGATAAGGGAATACATGTCTCACTGATGTAAGGTGGGAGAGGAGATTGAATGTTACCCAGGGCGCTGCTTCAGCTCAGACTCTAGGGTGCCTAAATGTTGAGGGGCCAGGGTCAGGGCTCTTTAGACAAGGGGAAACTTGGCAAGTTTGATGATTTATGATTTCCCTATCTGGAAAGAAAGCACCTTGTTTTATTAAGAGATTTTTTTCTATGACTGAAGTGCTCAGATAGGGGTGAAGTATTCCTGCCTGCTACACTAAGTATGTTTTAAACTGCTTTGTTCCTCATACTTACCTTGGAGAAAGCTGCAGTGAATTCAGAGGGGCAGGGTGATGAGATAAAGGGCTGGGTTCAGATCTTGCATTATTACCTGCTACCTTAGAGTCCCAGAGTAAATCTTTTTGTTTTTCTGAGTCTTAGTTTCCTCATCTAAGAAAATTACTTCATTAAGCCTTGGGCTTTTTTTATCTTCAGTAAAATCTACCTTACGTGATCATGACAATATACTCATAGATTAGACTAAAGCTTATGACCCTACACCTGGCACATCAGGGCACCCAGAAAATGTGGATGTGCCCCCACCCTTTCATCTTTCTTCCAGACTGATGGGTCAGTCTTTGCCACATTTCTTCCCTGACTTAGCTGTATATATTGATTCTTTAGGGCTCAGTCCAAACATCACTTTCTCTACAAACTTTCCTTTATAGAAAGAAATCCCTCCTGCTTTGTGGTTTCTCATCTTCTTCTTAATACCTGTGGGGTTTAGCACTTCCTTTCTGATGCTTCAGTGATTGATACGTGTTATTGATCTCTCCGTTTTGTAAGTTCTATGGAAGCAAATTGCTCACCTTTTCACCTTGTTTCCTCAAAGCACCTATCAGAATAATTCACATAAAATAGGTGCATAAAAATAACTGTACTGAATGTGTGCAGGTCAATTTTCTGTATTGAAGAATCATTACTGAATTCCTTTTTGCATATGGGGTGACATAAGTGATGCATATTTCCAAGTGTCCACTTATAGGAATTGAGAGTCAAAAGGCTTCATTGTTGGCAAGTGACCTCACATGATATCCGAAAGTTTTCTGGAAAGTTATAAATAATGAGTCATATGGGTAGCCACAATAAATTCTTGCTCAGGGGCCAGTCATACAGTTCAAAAAATGTGAAGGCTTTTTAAATCAAAGGGGGTATTTTCCAAGGGCCAGCTGTGCTTGGTTATTGCCAAAGTGTCTTCATATTACTTTGCTTCCTAAAACTGTACAGCATAGAATGGCAGAGATCAGTTACTATTATCTTTTAGCGGGAGAAGAGAGGCCCTTGAGAATCAGGAAGAAGTCATGTATGATTGTTGCTGATTCTGAGGCTGCTGAGATGGCTGTAAGTCATTCTGATAGAATCTCAGAATTAGGTTTAGGTCAGACCTTGCATATTGCCATGTGTCTAGAAGAGACATCATCCTCATCTCCTCTTTATGATTTATTATTTGATGCAGAGCATATTTGAAGGTTCTAGATGTCATGTGATAAACCTGTTTAACAGAATTTTTTCCTTTTGTTTAACTATAGATTCCATCTTCCTTCCTTTTTGCTTTCCTTCCTTCCTTCTTTCTTTCCCTTCTTATTCTTTTCTGGTTGTTGAAAAATGTCTAGTGACAAGATAAGAAACTAGTGTTTCACAGAACACTTAAAATTCTGCCTTAGCTGCTATTAGCTGTCATAATAAAGGAGAGGAATTGTCATCTAAGAATAGGATAAAAAAAGGTCTATGCATGAGGAGGCAGAATAATCAAGACATGGATAAAGAATGTTACAGGCGACCCAAATGCCACTTAACATTGTTAATAAAGGGTCCACTGTGCTTCTCACACCAGGCATTATTTTGACTTTGCTCTCTTACTTTGAAAGTCTAGTGGTTATCAAGGGATGTTTCACATGAAGAGTAACAGTTTTGCTTCTTTGTATGACCTTGAATTGTCTGGTGTGGAGAGGCCAAAAAAAAAAAGAAAGAGAGAGAGAGAGAGAGAGAGAGAGAGAGAGAGAGAGAGAGAGAGAGAATGGACAGATACTTCTCTCAGATGAATTTGAAAAGAGGAAGCAATGGGAGAAAGGGAGACAACTGAGATGATAGACAAAAAGGTTAATGAGAAGTTAAGTTTGGAAGGCAAAGGACAGGATAACGTGAGAAAGAAAGTGAAGGATTTTGACAAGTCAGGCAGAAGCTTTAAAGGCCACCGTCCCAACCCAGTTGGAAGAGGAGCCTTCCTTTAACTACAGGTCAGGCTTTCTATCCACTGTCTATTTGGGACACCTGTTCCTCAGGGTAGCATTTTGCTCCTGGTTCTCTTGATGCCCAGGGGTACACTTTCCCTCTTATTGCTGTTAAGACCCAGGCAGAGATCTTATCAATGGCTTGATGCTCTAGAAAACATTGCAAAGGTTAAATTGAAGCACGGGGATAGCCATAGAAGAGGGCATGGGGCTTTATGGGAGCTGAAGTAGGGAGGGGCAGAGAAGGGGCTTTCTCTTACTTAGGGTCTTCAGGGGGTTTACTTCCTGCAAGCAAAGCAACTAGGAGACTGTTGTCAAGCTAAGGCAATTTAGCAATATTGAAAGCTGAAAGCAAGATATGCAACACATTTGGGACTTTCTCTCTCATGCTGATGGACAAAATAAATTAGTTCCTCCACTAGGATACCCTTTGATTTCTTGTCAGTGTAAAAATCATTTAAAAACCCAAAAATGTTTTCAAGATTTTCAAATATTACTTGTCTTTCAAGAGGTGGAGCCATGTGTGTGGTAAAATAGAAGCTAGGGCAATAAGATGACTACTTTAAAAGGATTCAAATGTTTTTAAATTGCTGTTCCAAGGTGAACATAATTCGGAAGCATGATTCTGCCTGTTTCAGGGCTGTCAGGGCTGTGCTCTGAAACAGTGCATGAGATTCACTAACCCATTTAAAAATCAAATCTCTAGTTAGTAAACTCCAATCAGTTCTGAGTGGGAGTCTCAAAACAGGCAACTATTTGCAGAAATGGTGGCTCCAGCTGTCAGATTGATGTTAGGTATGTACCTACCAGGATTGTGGGGATCTGAGAATGTGAACCTATAAGCCCTGTTGCAGCAAAATCAGCCTTATTTTGGGTGCAGGGGTTACTTTTCATCTCTCATTTCTTTGCAAAAATCAAAAAATCATCAGAATGTATACATCACTCTGAAAAAAGGGCCTGATAGAAAATAGTTGGGTGGATGTATTTCCATATGTTGTGAACATGTGGAGGAAAATAATGCTGATACAGTGGATCGTTTATGTTTATACTGTTGACACCATTTCTCTGAGTGCACTGCACAATTGAGATGGCTTGGATTGTTTGCATGGAATCACATGATTACCCATGGTATTGCATGTCTCCAATTCCAAATAAACACAGTGGCAAAAACTAGATGAAAATGCAGAAAAAAGAAACAAATCACACGATGTCACTGAAGTCATGCAATGAGAAAAAAGATAAAAAATGGGCAAGCAATAGACACCATAAATGAAAAAAAAAGCCAATGCATACAATTCTAAAATCATTCTTACCTTCTTCAGTCATTGTGTCATAATATTTTAGTTTTCCATATGATCCAAGTTCTACAACATCACAGTAAAAGACACAAAGATAAGGAACGAGCTATAATGCAAGAACTTTGTTTTTACACATTCTTAATTAATCAGATTCAGAGTTATACTGTCAAATTTTGCATTCCTAACTATATGGAGATGTGCAAGCATGGGCCATGTGGCAGACAGCTTTCACAGCCCATTTTCAGAAAGCACTTAAAATATATTATTCTGCTGGGGGTAGGATGGGCCCTGCACTGCAGAATGGGACAGTTATCTTAACATTTGATGAGATAGAGTATTTGGTTTGTGAAATTCCCCCCAGGCCAGCCCAGCTATATCACTTTTGTAGAGATGTCATTCCAAGAGAGCAGGTCTGAGCAAGGACAGTGCTCTTGCTGCTCTTGCCTTGCAAACATGGGATCTTTGCCATGGAAGAGCAGTCCTGTGAGTTTACTTCACAGCTTTTCTGAGATAGCTTTTCTACTTTTTAGAGAGTAAAGAAGGCTACTTGGGAAAATTCAGAATGAAAGACCAGGTTTGAAGTTTCCCTTTCACTCATCTTACATTTTAGAGAGAAACCACTGAATACCATGTGTTCAGCATGCTAAGAAGAGCTGCTAATAATGGAGCATGTTCTGGGAGCAAGATGGAAGCATCTTCTCAGGAAAGACCACCACGTTGAGAAAGGTGACAGAACAGCCTTGGTTTCCCAGTCAAGGCATTGGCTGCTGCTGTGAACACAGCAGGGATACAGGGAGGATGAACAGCCCCTCCTCTGAGAGCAGATCACCAGGGACTTTGTGGTAAGAGAAACCGAAAAGTGAGCTCTTCTGAGTCAGTTGATGGGAGAGGCAACTGGGATTGGGGCAGAGAGGAGGTGGGGAATGTACCTGTTTTCTTCATTTTTTAAAATAGAAACTTTTATTCTTGTTCATCTGAAAATTCAAGATTGTTTTAATCAAAATTGTGAGCAAGTTAAAAATATTTTTCTTGGTTATAACAACACTCTCCTAATAAATTTCAAGAAATTAATTAGACTCAAGGGATATCCCTGTGTTTCTGCAGAATATTTCCTTGGCCCATTAACTTGGGCAGCTTCTGGGAACCCACGAATGAATCAACTTATAGTTGATGGGCTTGTGTACAGTTGAAGAATTAGCTTAGACACAATATTCAATATTCTTATATTTTATATTTATATTACACAATCCTTATACATTCTTTTTGCATGACTAATTTTTTTCCTAAAGATACATTAATACATCAATACAAAATTATGCCTTGTTGAGAAAAATCTAATTATGTTTCTGTGAAAACCTGACTATCAAGGCTTTTGTTAGACATGTTACAAAAAACGTGCTTCAAAAACAAATTGAATTTTGTGTAAGTAATAGGAAATTTTTTTCATGACTTCTTGGGATTTCTTTCAGTGTAATGTATTTTTCTGCTACTTTAAGAGTTGAAGTGTATTAGATATAAGATAATGTACAATTTTGAAAGTTTTAAATGATCGAAACACCTTCATAGACATTAAGCATGTTCATTATAACAGCATTTGCTTGTGTGTATGTATGTGTATAATTTTGCAGTACGTCATGAACTGCCTCAGCCAGCAAAGTTTTTTCTTAGCTTTTTTTTTTTTTAACTTTCCTAAGGTAAGCAGTGGAATAAACATCTGGCAGTCTCTAATATTTATTCAGAAAACAGAATATGAATGGCTCTATGTTTACAAAGTTGGGTATAAGCCACATTTCACATTGTGAAGATACTTAACTGCATTTTCATGGACTTGTATTTTTAGATGCAAACTTTTTCATATGTACACACTTGTTTCATGTATAAATCCCAAGCTATCAATCATCTATTTAGGGAAGACAATATTATTTTTAACCTCATCTCTTGAAAACCCAGGCATAAATAAATAAATAAAATTTCAATTCTTGTTCCACAAAGTTCACACATTCATTCCATTGTTGTAGTGTCTAAGTTGCTTCCTTGAGAAATAAATGAGACAGAGGGCAGGCGCTGGACAGAATACACCCAGAAATGAGGTTAACAATGATTGAATTGGAACTGAATGACAATAGGTATTGTGGCAACTTGAAAAAACAGTGAGGAGGCAGCAGAAGGAAACAATGTCTTCCCAAGCAAAGGGGACCATATTTGCAGCTTACTAAGAAAAGTCAGAAAAGAATGGAAAAGGAACGCAGCCTTTTAGAATATGATGTTTACAATGGATGCAGTGGCATGCTGAGACGGTGAGCTCAACAGTAGCATCCCAAGGGAAGTGTAGCAGCATCTCCGAAGAGCCAGGCAGTGCTCTTTCCTAAACTTGGGTGTTAGGAAGAGGAATGTGACATGCGACTAGGGCGAACACGACATTGCATGCAAAAGCCAGAACTCATTGCACACCCAGCTGGTGTACGTATCCCATGGTCACCTAATGGAAGATGATCTCTGTCATTGTATGTTGATAGCTTGTGACAAAGCCCAGACTGGCTGAAAAGGCCTTGGAGGTTTAAATGAAAACTCACCTGCAGGGAACATGGCTTCCAACCAGGACATTCCCGCATCGTGAATAACCAATGCACCTTTAACATAACTGGGTTAAGATTCACACTGGGCCTAATGTAAGCTGTGTTTCTTTGGGATAGAAAGGAATTCTAGAGGTGGTGTTTAATATCATCCAGCAGGGTTCACTCTGTCACCTGCGCAAGAGGCAGCCAATGTTGGAAAACCGAGGTATCACATGGAAAAAATAACATTTTGGGTGTCACATGGTGTCTCTTCTGTATGTATCACATCTCTGCAACAAATCCATTTAGACCAAAAACAAATTCAAGAACCTAATGCTGGCCTTTGAGATGAACCTGTAATCTAGTCACGAGCATCTCCCAACATGGTGACCACAGCACCCAAGCCTTTAGTTTTCTAGGGGGATTGAGTCTTTTACTATTTCTCTGTTCCTGTCCTTGCAGTAATCTTACTGCCCAGTTTTAGGATACCTCTGGGTCTTATCCATACTTCAGAATTGAAAAAAGTAAGGTAAGGATCTTCTCTTCCATCTCAGAGATTCTGTGAATAACAACTAGTGTTTGAGCTTCTAATTCTCCCCTGTGTTAAGATAGTTCTTTTTCCAAGATTGCTTTTCTCAGCTTTATTTTTCAAGTCATTGACATTCTCAACCCTTTGAACACAAATCCTTGAGACGTGAACAGCACAAAAATGACGTCACAGGTGAAACCTCCAACTTCTGATGTGCAAAGCAGAAAGTTATTAGAAGCATCTATGCTGATTTCATTTTATGAATGGAATGAAGAAATGGAAACAGAGAGATCTGTGAAAACAAGCATTTGTTACTTAATTGGGGGAAAATACTGGTCATTTTTTCAAAGAGCCAGTTTTATTTATGGTATTGTTTTAAATTGTATGAATGCCTAAAAATTAAGATTTTCTCAATACAGAAAGTTGTTTCTTGGTAAAGTTGTTTAGTACTTATAAACACGGTGTGTGTGTAAATATTTGATTCAACTCTAGCTACAGAAAGATTATTTCCAAGAGTACATGAGAGTTAAGGATATGGGCTTTGAAGTCAGGGGCATAGATTTGAGTCAATATCTGCCACTTATTAACTGTGTGACTTTGAGCAAGTTGCTTCACCTCTGTGAGCCAGGTATCCTCATTTTTGAGAGGGCAGGTTAATTGTGTCTACCCATAAGCTATTAATGAAGGTTAGGTGAGACAATGATGTCTCTAAACGAATCAACAATAAATTATTAGTATTGCAAACATCACAAACAGGTTTGAAGGGGGAACCCACAAGGTGTGGAGCAGAGTATGTGGAGAACTTGGTTTTTAATATATGCTCATTACATTGATCATTCCTCATAGAGATTTTAAATAAGTATCCATTGTCCAACACTAAAAAACATTCTGCCTTATTCTGTTTTTTTTCATTTTTAAAAATTATTATCATTTTACGACCCATTTCCATAGGCCTTTGGATTTCCGTAGCCATTCCCAAAATCCGTCTCCCCCAAGTTCCCCTATATTGTAACTATAATATAGTTCCTCATAAACAGTCAATGTCCATCATGGCAGGCCTGGAGAATGGCAAAGAGTCTAGAATCCTATTGTCAAGAATATAGTTAACAGTTTCATTGTAAGTCCATCTTTGATCTGGAAGTAGAGATGCATACTGCATTGTGTCCTCACATCTGGATATGATAGTCTCCATTACACAGTTACTATACATGCCCTTAAATGGAAAGCCACAATACAAAATCAACAACAGTTGGAAAAAAGAAATTAAAAATGCCATGAAGTTAAATAACATGCTACTGAATGACTAATGTGTCACTGAAGAAACGAAAAAGAAAATCAAGAACCTTCTTGAAGAAATGATGCTACTGTATGATCCAAGAGTCACTGAAGAATTTAATCAGAAGAAAATGTTTTGAAGAGATGAAACTAAACTAAAAAAAAAAAAAAACCCTGAGATCCATGAGATACAGTTTCTGCTAACTTTGTTGGTGAGATATGTCTTCTGTAGGCAACAAATAGATGTGTGTGTGTTTTTTAACCCAGTCTACTAATCTGGTTGATGAGTTTTAGCCATTTACATTCAGGGCTAATATGAATGGGTGGTAATTTGGTCTTGTCATTTTAGCAATGGAGAAATTGATTTAGTCTTTTGCTGTTATTTTACTGGAATGTTCTTCACATTTGCCTTTGGTCTTGGTGGGTGCTATTCCTCTTCTCTGTCAAGAGAACATCTTTAAGTATCTCTTGTAGGGCAGGTTTGGAAGAGGCATATTCTTTTAACTGTGCTTTACTGTGGAAGAATTTTATTTCATTTTCAAAGACAAAAGAAAAGTTTGCTGGATATGTTATCCTGAGCCGACAGCTTTTTTTCTTTTAGAATCTGGAATATGCTGCTCCATTCTATTCTGACGTGTAGAGTTTCCTATGAGAGGTCTTCTGTGAGTTTAATTGGCATTGCTTTATATGTCAGTTGATTTTTTTCA